AGCTGTGATGAGGCCACTGCACTCCAGCCTGGGTGGAAGAGTGAGACCCCATCTCACAAAAACAAAAACAAAAACGAAAAACAAAAACACCACAATGTCATTATCACTCCTAACCAAAAAAAAACACCAAAAAACCAAAAAACAATAAAAGTAAAACAAAAAGTATACACAATTCTTTAAATCATCACCTGTTTGGTCAGTATTCAAATTTCCAAATTTCATCACTATCATATATGATTTTTGCAGTTTCTTTGAACCATGATCCAAACAAGGCCCACTCTTTGCAATTAATTTATATTTCTTTAAATCTCCTTTAATCTATCACTTCCCCTCCATCACTTTTTTTCTTGCAATTTATCTACTGAAGACTGCCCAACAGAAATACAATGAGCAACGTGTACAATTTAAAAATTTCTAGTAGTCACATTTTTTAAAAAGTAAGAGGAAACATGTATATGAACTTGTATGTCAAAAATATTATTTCAACATGTAATCAATATAAAAAATTAATTAGACATTTGCTATTCTTTTTTCTCACTAAGTCTGTCATTGGATAGTGCTGTCCTAGCTGTACAGTTTCCCACAGTCTAAATCTGGCTGATGCACCCTTGTGTCTCTTCGTGTGTTCCTCTGTCCCCTATGTTTCCTATCAACCAGAACGCAGGTCTGGAAGTTCCATCAGATTCAGGTTTTGGGTGTATGGAGTTTTTTCTGGACAGAATTTTCCTCTGCGGTGCTCCGTAAATCCATAAAGGGGCACATTCTAGGTGCCTCTTCTCTCTTTTTGTGATGTCAGCAACCGCTGCCATTCAATGCCCAGACGCGTTAGTTCATCAGAGATTGCAAAGTGGTGATATTCTCATTTCTAAATGTTTGAACATTTACAAAGCATCATATGGTTTCCAAACAAATCTTTGTATTTTACAACAAGCTTTTCAGTTCCTTTATGGTTTAAAAGGCATGTTCAGGTTTTTGGTTTTTTTAATCTCTTTATTTTCAAAAAGTATAACAAAGTTCAAAATTCTTCTCAGTTTTCAAGACGTTTCGTTCTCGCACAAAGGTGTATGAGCACCTAGTGTGTGTCAGGCACTGTCCTAGACCTGAAGGTGCAGCAGTCCCCACCCTCGGAGCTGATAGTCCGGTGGGGAGGGGCAGATTGCAGGTTACAATCTGTGGTCTGAAGGAAACGAGCAGGGTGGCGTGCAAGTGAGCAGGGAGGAGTGAGCCCTGGAAGGGGACTGGTTGAGGAAGGCCTTTTGGACGAAGGGACATTGAGGCTGAGAGTTGAAAGGTACCCTGTCAAACGTGGGGTGGGGTGTCCCAGGCAAAAGCAAGCGCAATGGCTGAATGATGGCAACAAGGGGGACAGAAAGGAGGCCAGTGTGGCTGCTTGAGAATGGGGGAAAGGAAGTCTGAGAGGTGATGGGGCAGATGTACAGGGCCTGGTTGGCTGCAGGAAGGACTTTGACTTTTAACCCAAATGAGGTGGAAGGAAGGGAGGGTTCTGCACAGGGGAGGGCCGTGGTCTGAAGTAGGTGTTTACAGGTTCCTCCCCCTGTGTGTGGGGACAGCGGGGGAGCAGGGAGGCCGGGGGAGGAGGCTGCCGTGATGGTCTAGGTGGGAGACAGTGGAGGACAGGACTAGGGTTGGGGCCATGCGGGGCAGAAGTGGGTGGACTCGGATCTGTCTTGAAACCTGAGCTGACAGACTTATCGCTGGGTCAGATGTGGGTGGTGACAAAAGAGAAGAATCAAGGATGACTCAAAGATTTTAGCTTAAGCCCCTGGGTGGGCGGTGTGGCTAATCCTGAGATTAGTCCTCCAGACTGTGGGAGGAGAGGTTTTGAAATCAAAAGTTCAGTTTGGGCCATTTTCATTTTGGGGCAGATGTCCACAAAGAGGTAGACGTTTAAAAAGTATCGTGTGGTTTCCAGGTAGGGCCACAGCTGCGAGAGTCTCGATTCTGGGGAACAGTCAGAGCTGGGAATGTAGACGTGACAATCACTGGTGTGGGATGGAATTCAGAGCCTGGGGCCTCAGGGATGTCTCCAGGGGACATGCATAGCTCAGGAAGGAGGTGAAAATCCCTGGCCTGGGGCCACCCCCAACCATTGGAAGCCTGGAAGAGTAGGATGCCCCAGGAAAAGAAATTGACAATAGTCAGAGAAGAAGGTATTTCAAAAGAAGGGGATGTGGCCGGGTGTAGTGGCTCATACCTATAATCTTAGCATTTTGGGAGGCCGAGGCGGGAGGATCACTTGGGGCCAAGAGTTTGAGACCAGCCTGAGCAAGATCGAGACCCCATCTCTCCAAAAATATAGAAAAATTAGCCAGGCATGGTGGCATATGCCTGTAGTCCCAGCTACTTGGGAGGCTGAGGCAGGAGGATCGCTGGGGCCCAGGAGTTTGAGGTTGCTGTGAGCTATGATGACACCACTGCACTGTAGCCTAGAAGACAGAGCAAGACCCTGTCTCAAAAAAAAAAAAAAAATCAGAGACATCGTAGACCCGAGACCTGGAGCAGCTGAGATGCCGTGAATAATAAATAGCTCTCCAAGTCTGCGATTAAAAAATGGCCTCCAATAAAACTACATTGCAAAAAATGGGAAAGGAACAGAATAGGAAAACCAGAAAGAAGAGGCAGAGCCTGAAGAATGTTGAGGTGGAAAAAGTACTGGACCGACGTGCGGCGAACGGGCGAGTGGAGCGTTTCCTGCAGCGGGAGGGACTCAGACGCTGACAATACTCGGGAACCTGAAGAAACCAGACTGGCCAGAGCTAATCGGAGCATTTCTTAACTCTCAGAAAGCTGGTAAAGGAAAAGATGGCACAAAAAGAAAATCTTTATCTGACGGTGAATCTGATGATAGCAAATCAAAGAAGAAAAGAGGCTGTTGACAAACCAAGAGGCGTTGCCAGAGGTCTCGACCCCGGAAGAATAATGGGTGCCACAGACAGCAGTGGAGGGTTAATGTTTCTGATGAGATGGGGACATTCAGACGCGGCAGATTCGGAGCTGGCAAAAGAGGCAAATATGAAGTGTCCTCAAATTGTAATCGCTTTTTATGAAGAGAGACTAGCTTGGCATTCTTGTCCAGAAGATGAAGTTCAACAATTCCATTGCATTTTATATATATATAAAATCTGAGTCTTGGTTTTTGATTTACTAGTGTGAAGAAATAACTATATTCTAATAAATCAATTTTGATATTAAAAAAAAAAAGCCCGGGGGCAGGGATGCGCAAATGGATGATGACAAAGAGAGATCAGCAAATCACAAGAGCGGAGTCCAGGAGCGAATGGAGGAGGCAGGGTCCCAGGCCCCTGCCAAGGGGTGGTCTTTTGAGAGACACAGTGTCACACCGCTCATCATACAGGGGGAGGCAGGCCGGTGGAGCGAGAGTAGAAGGTGAGGAGTTCCTGTGTGATTATGTCTCTGTGGTTTCTAGAGCCCTTCATGATTTGCAAAGCATGTTACTCATTTAGAAAGCATTTTGCAAAGTTCTTGGCTTTTTACAAAGCACTTTTTAGAGCCAGAAAACTGTGCTTCTGTCCATCCCCCAGAGCAACGCTTCTCACACTGCATATTGCAGTGCATCTGGAGGTGATGACATTAATTTAGTAAGTCATGATCAGCAGCTTTAAAAATAAAATAGAGCATTATAGAGTGTGTTGCACAGCAGAAGTCAGAATTGTGTTGTGAAATCTTTTTTTTTTTTAGTCACATTGTAAAATACATTCTTACTGCAAGTGCAGTCAAGAACCTTTGAAAAACGGCCCTAGAGAACCTCTTGCAACAGTGAATAGGATGAAAATGAATTCATTTGATCTGTGTATCTCAACACGGATAGATCTTGCAAACATACAGTAGAGTGAAAAAAGCAAGTTTCAAATTGCACGATTATAACAGAAATTCTCTAAATTTAAAAGAATGTACAGGACACTATATACTTTTTTGTGGCCGGTGACTGGATATAGGTAGTAGAAACATTGTCACGTTTGGAAGGTTATACACCGACTCCAGGACAGTGGTCGCCTCCAGGGAGGGTGGGGGAATGGGGCCAAGGCAGGGCACACAGAAGGCTCCAACCCTGCCTGTAACGTTTTAGTTCTTTAAAAACATAGCGTTAAGAAATATGTCACCATGAGCCCTTGTTCGTTCTGGGGGATGAGTGGTTGTTCCCAGTTGAAATTCAGAGGCCGCCACTCTGTCAGGTGTCAATTATTTAGTTGTTTGAAATGGGGGGCCAGGGGGGTGGCTGGGGCGGTGGCATTTATCAGTGGGAGTCCCAGCAGGAAATAGCACATGCAAACTGAATCAGTCAAGGAGAGTTTTATAAAGGGACCGGTGACAAAGCTTTGGGTGGGGGTCCGGCAGTCCTCTGGGGTTAACTGTGCTGGAAGCTGTTTCCACCTCCTGACTTTAGCGAGCTAGTCTGGGGGAGCTGTGCAGACAGGGCTGCAGGGACCGGCCTTTGAGTGAGGGACACCCCAGCAGGGGGAGGAAGCAGGGAGATAAATGCTACAACTGTGTTCTCTTCCCTGCTCCCAGATGGACGGGTCCCCTGAAGCCAGAGGGCTACGAGAGCGTCTGGGCCAGACCGTGGGTGCCATCAAGGGCGGGGGAGGGGGAGATGGGGGGAGGGTGACCAGAGCCTGGAGAGCTACTCCGGGATTGAACTTGGAGAGCTTGGGGCAACATCTTTTTTACCAATTATGTGAGCTCAGGTTCATCGGTTCTTGGGGCACATTTTTCACATCTTACCGTCTCTGAAAATGGGGTGTATCTTACAGTGGACGGTGGCTTGGCTTTGTTGAAGTGCATATCTCAGGATTTTAATGGCTGGTACAACCTTACCTGTGCCATCTTGCTGGCTGTCAGCCTTGGGTGCTGGTTATGTGATTCTGGACTTTTCCGTATGTATGAAAGAGCAGACGTGCAAGGCGAGAACTGAGGCCCCCCGGACCCCCCACCCACTGACCTCCCCTGCCCACCCCCAGGCCATGGACAGCCAGAAGCAGTTCAGCGGTCCGGAAATCCAGTTCCTGCTTTCGTGCTCCGAAGCGGATGAGAACGAGATGATCAACTGTGAGGAGTTCGCCAACCGCTTCCAGGAGCCGGCGCGTGAAATCGGCTTCAACGTGGCCGTGCTGCTGACCAACCTGTCGGAGCACGTGCCGCACGACCCGCGCCTGCGCACCTTCCTGGAGCTGGCCGAGAGCATCCTCGAGTACTTCCGGCCCTACCTGGGCCGCATCGAGATCATGGGCTCCTCGCGCCGCATCGAGCGTATCTACTTCGAGATCTCGGAGACCAACCGCACTCAGTGGGAGATGCCCCAGGTCAGGGGACCCCCGCGCGGGCCTGCTCGCCTCCTGGGGCTTCCGGCGTGCGGGTGCTTGCTCCTTGCACGCTTGGACCCCGCATGGGGCTGTGTGTGCCTTGCACATCTCTGGCCTGCCCATGCCCACTCTTGCACACTCACCTTGGGGGCTCTGGGGTGCCCTGGCATGCTGACCGACCCCTCACCAGTCGCCACATGTGCCCCCAAATGCCTTTTGAAGTCCTAGCCCACGATGCATACCCCACTTATTCTCGGCCCACACATGGGTGCACACCCCTTGCACTCTCGCCCTGAAGATGCCAATGTGCCCGCCAGAGCCCTGGCATACCTCATTCATTCACCTCCCACATGCCCTCGCTGTAGCCCGAGCACGGCTGTGATCACCAAGCTCACCGGGGCCACCTTCGCAGACTCGCCCATGGGAGCCCTTGTGTGTCCTCGGCAGCCCAGGTCTGCTCGTTAGCGTGACGTGCCGTCTGTGCCCACAGATGCACGAACGCCCCTCACACTCTCACTTGCCCCACGACTACACTCATGTGGCCCTGGCACGCCCCGGCCCCCTCACACACCCAGCTGGCACGTCCCATCCCCATTCCCGCGCAGGCCCACTCGGCCCTCGCACTCCCTCCCCCTCAGACCCCGGGCATGGCCTTGCTCTCACACTTCCCTTGTGTTTCTCAGACACCCCCAGGCACCTGACACTCCTCCCACGCGCTCTGCACACCCTTGTCTCACACTCAGCCCGTGAGGCCTGCACGCCCATCGCTTCCTTAACTACTGGGCCCCTCGTATCTGTCCTTAAGGGACACCTGGCTCATACACACAGGCTCAAGTCCCACACACAGCCCTGTCCTCATGTTCTGGGCCCTGTTACACTGGCTCCCGGCTCCCCTGCACACTCCCGCCGGCCTCATTGCATGCCGGCCTCGCCCACACTTACACGCCTCCCCTCCCCACGTGGGCCAGGCCCTCTCATGCCTGCCCCGCGCCCACGGCCACTGTGCACTCTGAGCCTCGCACGGCCACGCACTTCTGCCATCCCCCCATCCCTCACCCCATCCCTCCCTCAGTCCCTGGTGCTCTTGCACACTTACCTGCGTCCCTTGGCCACCACTGCACACTCACCGCCCACCTGGCCCACACATGGTTGCACCATCCTTGCACTCAGGACGTCTGCGCACCCTGCATCAGCAGGAATTCCCCGTTCACCATGGCCTCCACGCCCGCTCCAAGTGCAGGCTGTGGGAGCCCGGCCCCTCCCCCATGCCACCCCTCACGACGCCCCACGTGCAGGCTCTTTCCCACAGTCTTACTTCTCCAAACACCCACTTCCTCCTGCTCGCCCCTCCCCATTCCTACTTGCTCCTGCCTTTCAGGCGCCATGTGGGCCTGGAACACTCGTGGGGCAGTACAACAATAGCAAACACTATGTGGCATTTATTAGGTGCCAGGGTGTTCTAATCACTCAGCATTGACTAAGTGTCATTTAATCCTCACACCAACCCTATAACAGGGTTATAAGGTTGCAACTATTGTACCCATTTTACAGCGGGGGAAACGGAGGCCCAGGCAGTTAAATCAAAAATCACTCAGCTACTTAGTGGCAGAAACGGAATGGAACCCAGACAAGCTGGCTGCAGAGCTTTTGCCTTCAATCACTGTGGTGTGTCTTTCAAAGAAGCTAAAAACAGCTTGTTGTGAGTTCGAATCCTACATCTGCTACCTCACCTGTGTCACCTGGGCATGCAACTTTCTGAGCCTCCGTTTCCTAGGGTGGTTCTGAGAACTAAGTGAGTTTTATGAGTTAAATGTACCTGCTTGGTACAGGGCTGGCCTTACCGAAGCACTTAGGAGAGTACCTACAGCGGGCGCTCTGCAGGTTTGCTATTGACAATCAAAGCAACAGTGCGTTCGGGACGGCGCCTGCTACGGCGAACGCTGGCAGACGCCGAGGCGGTGGTCGCCGCTGTCCCAAGCGCCCGCTGACGGCGCCCCCATTCTGTCCCCTCGGCCCGCGCTGCAGGTGAAGGAGTCCAAGCGCCAGTTCATCTTCGACGTGGTGAACGAGGGCGGCGAGTCCGAGAAGATGGAGCTGTTCGTGAGCTTCTGCGAGGACACCATCTTCGAGATGCAGATCGCCGCGCAGATCTCGGAGCCCGAGGGCGAGCCCGAGACGGACGAGGACGAGGGCGCGGGCGCGGGCGAGGCGGGCGCCGAGGGCGCGGAGGAGGGCGCGGCGGGGCCCGAGGG